ACGTACGTACTACACACACACACACACACACACACACACACACACACACACACACACACACACACACACACACACACACACACACACACACACACACACACACACACGCACACACACACACCCACAATTGCCCTCTCCTCCTTTACACATGCACTCCGCTCCCTCACATGCCTCTTCCAACCCCTGCTGGGTCCTCTTTGCTCGTCAGGCCCCAAGCGTGTTCTGCCAAAGGTTGCAGAAACGCTTCGCGCAGCGCGTCAGGCGTTCTCAGAAGGCGCAAACACAGCAGCTTCACAATCACACAAGATCAAGTATGTGTGTGTGTGTTTGTTTGCGTTTGCGTGTGCGTGTGTGTCACACGTGCCGCACGCACAGACCTCACATGCATGTGCAGCTCACATTCTCCACGCTTCTCCATGTTTTGCAACAACAGACCCCCAACAGCACAACCGAAGCAACAGCCGCCATCATCATCGTCCTCGTCGTCATCGTCCTCTTCCTCTTCGAAGCCGCACTCACAGTAGCTTTGTACTTGTTACAAATCCAAGCTTCACACATCACCCGTACATGGCGCCTGTCTGCCACTTTGCTTCGTACAAAAGCAATGAACATCGTATGTACACGTCTCGGAAGCAGCTGAAAGCGGGCACATGTGACCACGCAACGCAAAGCTACCTGTCATACACACACACGGCAATACACACAACAACACGCACATGCACACGCACACACTCTCTCAGAAGAAGTTTGACACCATTGGCGCCGTGTCAGAAGAGTCTGCAAGACCGTTGCCATCTCCGTCGCGCACCACCTCACTCTCTTCCTCGTCATCCTCCATCAACACGCCCAAGCTAAACATCTCCTCGTCAATGCACGCGCTGTTCCTGTTTGGCCCGCTGTCATCGCCAGCGACAATGTTCAGATAGGACGAGGTCCTGTGCGGCAGCGCATTCGTGCATGGAAGGAATTGTATGAGCGTGTAAGCGTGAGGGCGTGTGTGTATGTGAATGTGCATGTGTATATGCATGTGTATGTGCATGTGTATATGCATGTGTATGTGTGTGTGTGTGCTTGCACCAAGTGGCTTGCGCGCGCTCACACACACACACACACACACACACACACACACACACACACACACACACATACACACACACTCTCTCTCCGCTCTCACACAACTCACTCGTCCTCCTCTGAAGCGACAATGGACCCGCGGTGCGCGAACATCCCCAGCACGCGGGCAACATCGTCGGCCATGGGCTTGTGGCCAACAGCAACCAGCTCCTCCTGTGCACCGTCGTCACAGGCAAGGGCACGCTCGTGAGGGAAACACATCGAAACGGACATGCAGCACAACACCGAGTACGAGGCCAACATCTCGTATTGTATCGCAAGACCAAGCGAGCACAGACATGCACACGCGCACACACAGACATGCACACGCGCACACACAGACAGACACACAGACACACAGACAGACACACACACACAGACAGACACACACACACACAGACACACACACACACTCACCAGCAGCTGTTCTCGGAAGCGAAGCGCGTATTCCATCAGTCCACACACGGCATCGGGGCGGTCGCACGCTTGCTCGCCAGACTGCGCCGACGCAAACGAAGCCTGCAGCTCCGCGTCTGTGGGCGGCGGCAGCCGTGATATCGCCGTGTAGAAGTTGGCAATCTGCAAACCAGCAAGCAACGAGGCGTGTGTGTGGGGGGGGGGGGTAGTGTGAGGGTGAGGGATGGAGGCACGAGCTGAGATCTAACGCACGTGAAGCCCGTTTGTTTTGTGTTGAAATGCATTCAGCTGATTCCATCGTCATCGTCACACCCTCAACACCAACGCACACATACAAACGCACGCACGCACGCACACACACACACACACACAGACACATGTTCGCACCTTCTGCTTGTACTCTGCCACCTCCTTGCGGTACAGGTGCTTGTTTGCAGGGGAGTGCTTTCCAAGCTGTTGATCCGATACAGAGCACGAATCCATAATCACCTGAAAACAAAAAAAAAAAAAAACCTTCACAGCCCCATGTTAGAAACCCCAACCGTGTCAAAAAACATAGAGAAAACGCTGCACCCGGAGCAAAGCCCATGCACACTCTGAACACACGCATAAAAGCCCTCCCCCCCCCCCCCCAATCACATCCACACACCTGCGCCACGGTGGAGAGGCCGCTGCTGACTGTGCGCGTTTGCTGCACGTGGAGCAGAAAGTCCGGGTTTTTGATCAAGTTGATCCAGAAGCGGAGGGGAAACGCGTTTGACTTCCAGATGTGCGTTGTGCGCGGGTCCGAGATGTTGTGCTTGCGCGCCTGGTCATCAAGAAAGTGAAACAGGAAGCGCACAGCGGGGCTCGGCTGGTCAATGTTGAACACCGCGTCAACCAAGTCGTCCACAAACGGCTGCAGCGCCGTCTTGACCGTCATGAGATATGTCAGGAAGATCTCAGACGGCACGCGCGTTGCGGCGGCCGCAGCAGCTGCTGCAGTGCCATCTGTGTCCGGCTTCACCAAATGCCAGGGCTCGCATGCCATGGGGTCGATGCGTGACTTGGACTTGGTGCGCACCTTGAACAGGCTGCCTCCCCCGCCACCACCGCCACCACCACCGCTGCTGCTGCTGTTGTTGTTGCGACGCCTTCTCGCGTCACCGCCATCTGTGTCGGACTTGACAAACGCCAGCTGGTCGCCGTCCCGCATGCCGTAGAACGAGGCCGTGTTCAGTTGCACCCACCCGGCGCTCATCTTGCTGCTGTCGTCAATGTCTTTCAGCACGCGCAGCCCTTCTTCCCGCTGCAGCACCAGCACGCGCGTGTCAAAGTCGCTCACGTCCGCGCCAGCCGTCGTCACCACCAGCTTCAGCTTCTCCAAGATCTGCCCAATGGTGTCGCATGAGTTCACGTGCACCTCGTACACCTGCCGGTTCATGTCCACATGCAGCGTGAGCGGCTCGTACTCCACGCGCTCGCGAAGCAGCGCATCTGCATTGAGCGTGTAGGTTGCTGCGCCCGTCACCGCGTCCACGGGGCCCTTCCACGCGTAAATCTTCAGCGCTTGCGTCAGGTTGTACAGGGGCCTGGCGGCGTCACGTAACACGGCGTCGTGCATGCCCGTCGTCAGCCACGCAGTAAGCAGCTTCTCTGCAACAGACTCTGTGCGCCGCAGCATGAGGCGCGGGTCACGGCGCGAGTTGGCGGTAAAGTACTGGTCCAGCAGTGTCGACAGCGTGTGCGTCCCCATGGCCTCGTCGCCGTTTGCCGAGCACATGAGCAGGGACGCAACCTGACAGCGGTCGCGCACGCTGAACGCACGCCCCTCCCCCTCCATCACGCCCACAAACGCGCGAAGGAAGTCGTCTTGCTGCAGGAAGAACGTAAACTGCTCAATGCAGTCGTTGGTGCCAGGGAACCTTGGGCGGACCGGCAGCGGGTGTGTGTCCAGTGCTGTAAAGTACACGCGACGCGCATACTCGCCTGACACGAGGAAGCGCGATAAAGAAGTGAGGGCGGATGGGGTTGGGGGGGGGAGGAAGATGAGGCAGCAAAGAAGGGGGAGAAGAGAAGAAGGAGGAGAAGGAAAGAGAAGGTGAGTTATCGGTGGATGTATGTGGCATTCCGACGTAGCAGTGAGAGTACAACAGGCCAGTGCCAATTCAACACCATCACATCCAGACAAACAAACAGACGGGCATGACAGGTGGGTAGGTAATCCACACAATATGCACAATCACACACACACACAATCACACACACACAATTCCCACACACAATCACACACTCACACAATCACACACACACACAATCACACACACACACAATCACATACACCATCACACACGTAAACAAACAAGCAAACACACGCCAACAAACACACACCAACAAACACACAATCACACACGCACCAAAAGGACGAGGGTGCGCCTCGCTGAGGGTGAGGGCCAACTGCCCGCCCTCCTGAAGCTCTGTGAACCCTTGGCGTGCAACATCAATGACCTGCGTCTCCAAGTCCTGCATCTGCCGCAGGAGGGCCTTCTCCTTTGTGCGCCGCGTGCGAATGTTGCGGCGGTACACAAGCGCCAGCACCACCAGTGCAACGCAAAACGCCCCCACAATGCTGCCCGCAATGGGCGCAACGTCTGTCCCGCTCGCCTGCGCCTGCAGCTGGAACGAGCCAGAGAGCGTCGTGTTGTACGCGTAGTCCAACAGCGCATATGTCACGTCAAGCGGCACGTTTGGCGCCACATCGACATCAGGCACGCGCACCGTCACCTGCGTGTCAGACTCCAGCTGGATCACGGCAGGCACGCCAGCAACGTAAACAGCAAACGACCCATATGCGGTCAGACGCTCTCCGGAGAGCACCATGATGTCGCCTGGGCCAGCGGTTTCAGGCTGCAGTGCAGAGACGACGGGATTGAGTGCAAACACAACCGCATTCCCCGTGTAGTTGGCGGCATCAGCGAACAGGTCGTAGCTCGTGGGCAGACCAGCTGTCCCAAGCGACGGAACAGCTGCAACCACGTGTGGGATGGTGCTGATTGGGCACGCAGCTGCTGTTGTGTTGATGGCTGTGCACGACACCGTCGCCAGGTCCTGCGCTGGCACAGCCGTCGAGTACAGGCGAAGCGTGAGCGTCTGTGCAGCATCCAGGTTGGTGCCGAGAACGACAAAGTTGAAGGATGCGTTGGCTGGGGCGGTTGCAGGCCACGTCATGGCGATGGTGGGGTCGTCGCGAACCTCAAACTCAATCCCGGCCGACACGCGCGAGCATGTGCTGCTCTCCAGCTGCCCATCCATCTGAACACACACGCTCGTCGGCAGCGCGCGTGCAAACCGACCACCCACGACGACACCACCAGCACGAAGGTCGCTGCCGCGGCGGCGGCGGCGGCGAAGCGTGGTGTCGGGTGTTGGCTGCAGTTCGCATCTCATCTGCGTTGCCGTGCGTTCAAACAGCTCGCACGCCGTCTCCGCAAGTGTGACGTTCACTCGCTGGCCCGCATCGAGGCCAGCGCCCGTGAGCGTGACGACAGCGCCACCGGCACGGATGCCAACAGCGGGGTCGATGCCACTCACACGCGGCTCAACCACGGAAATGGTGGCTGTGCTGGAGGCCATCTGCCCGCCGCCAAGCAGCACGTTCACAGCCACGTTGGCTGCTGGCGTTGCAAACGATGGCGTGCGGCACATGAGCGTGCCAGAGGCAACGTCAAAGTCTGTGAGCGTGCACGCTGTGCCGGCAATGGACACGCTGGCAATATCGGCGAGGGCACGGCCGAGATTGCGGCCAACGATGGTGACAACCGTGCCGCCCGTGGTCGGCAGCACAGATGGGGCGACAGAGAGCACAGCCGGCTGCGGGCACGCGCTCACATCGCCGCCCTGTGCAGGCAGAAACGTCGCATCGGAGACAGCGCACTCGCTCACATACGTGCACTGCGCCTGGAGCACAGACGCACGCTGGCACCAACCGCAGGCGAACAGGGGGTTGCTCACGGAGAGGCAGCGGCCACAGTCCTGGTCCGTGTTGCCGCCACCGAGCACGTTACAGTCGTAGAAGGCGATGCTGGCTGTCGGTGCATCACCAACAGGCCAGCCCCGGAAGCGAAGCGTTGCCGTGCGCGTGCGTGTGCCCCCTGTCAGGCCCTGTCCGCTTTCGTTGGGAACAGGACACGACACACAAGTCGCGTTCACAAACGCGCCCGTGGTTTCGGTCGCACTGAGCCCAGCGCTATCCGTAAACACGCACGTGTATGTGTCCGCGCCCTGCACCGGCTGCACAAAGTTTTTGCCGGACCAGTGAAGTGTCTCATTGCTGAGGCGAGCGTGCACGGCGCCAGGGGAAGTGGTGTTGACCTGCGGGCACTCTGCAGCCGCTGCTGTTGTATTGAGCCACGCAGACGCGTCGTTGTCACGGCAGAAAGATGGCCCGCTCGTGCACGTGTTATCATACGCGCACCATCCACACCGCGCCGGGCAGCCTGGTTACGTAATGGACAGGGGAGGAGGAGGAAGGAGGAGACGAGAAGGGGAGACGAGTATGAGTGAGGCTAAGTGCAACGTGTAACATGACAAACGCACACGCGCGCACACATGACACATACACGCACACCCGCACACCCGCACACACACACACACACATACCTGAGCAGCCTTGTGGTGTGCGGACACCGCAGTCGTAGACTTCAAGCGGGAAGCTGACGTTCACACGATTATCGAAGCGAAGCGGCGTAACAGCAGCATCAGCATCAGCATCAGCAGTTATGCCGCTGGGCCCGTGTGCGAGGGAGATGGTGGTGGCGTGGACGTATCCCGTAACACCAGCGGCAAGTGACTTAATAGTGGCGTTGCATGTGACGAGCGGGCCACTCACTTCAGCTGCGAACGAACCATACGACGCAACGTCGCAATACCAGCGCTCGCCTGTACAACAGGACATGTGTGTGTGTGTGTGTGTGTGTGTGTGTGTGTGTGTGTGAGCGCACAAGAGGGCTGAAGAAGAGGAACGAAGGGCGATAGATGGGCCGGAAGCAAGAAACAAGAAGGTGGGTTCGGGTCATTTTGTTTGAAGAAACAGCAACGACAGCAGTGAAGCAGTCGGAAAGCAACCGAGCATTTCATGCTGCCTCTCTCATGAAACAACTCGTGTCCACAGCATGCAACGAACCTGGGAGCAACGGAGGGAGGCTGCTGACGGTAAAGGTGACAGTGGTGTTGGTGTTGACAGGCACCTCCGTCGGCAGGACGGTAGTGAGAGCAGGACAGCTTGCTTGCGTCGCGCCATCAAACCCATGCAGCCAATATGACGACGACGTGTCTGTGGTGTTGGCAGCCCTGTCCAGAGACTCGGGCAGTGCACACGCAGAGCGCTCCGTGCATGTGTTTGACAGCGGACACCACCCACAATACGGATCCCTGAATCGTGCAGATGGAGACGTGTTTGTGTGCGTGGGGGGGGGGGAGACAGTGAGTCGAGTGAATGATGTGAGTGTGTGTGAGTGTGTGTGTGTGAGAGTGTGAGTGTGAGAGTATGTGTGTGTGAGTGTGTGTGTGTGTGAGAGAGTGTGAGAGAGAGTGTGTGAGAGAGAGTGAGTGAGTAAGTGAGAGTGTGAGAGTGAGAGTGAGAGTGTTAGTGTGAGTGTGAGTGAGAGGGAGAGCGTGTGCGTGCCAATGTGCATCTCTGCGGTTTTGCATTCCCTCTTCGCGTATTGAGCTTGTGCAGGCAAACATCACACACAGACAACCAACATGACTCACATGGAAGTGACACATGCTCCGCACGTGGTGTACTGCCCGCATGTGTGCGCAGGGAGCGATACAACGCTGCTTTCCGACAGCACAAAGAGTGTTGACGCGTTGCTCCACATCTGCAGCTGCACCACCGCCTCCTGGCTGCTGGTCACCACAACATTCGTGGTGTTCACGACACCGTACGTTGTAGCCGCGGCCGGGGAAAGGACCTGATGATGCATGTGGTATGTCATGAAGGGTGAGGCCACACGCACAAGAACGCGGCGCGGCGTACAGTGAAAGTCGATCATACACATGCACAGGAATGCTCACAACTGTAACGGTACACGCAAAAATACATAAGTCCTCACAAAAGTACACATGCATGAAAATACACGCACATACACGCCCGCCCCCCTCGTCAGAGTGCCGCCGACCTGTTGCAAATGGACGCGAAGGACAGCGCCCGCGTCCGTGCCGACGAAGGCAACGGTGTGGCCGTGCACAACGTCAACGGCAAGCGCAGTGAGCGCGCCAGCGCCAGTAATGGGCGCAAACGTGCTGCTGCCACCAATGGAGCCCACAACAGCGGAGCTTGCCACAAGGTCGTCATTGCACGACGCCGTGCCGTACGTGCCAGTCATGAACGCATCCATGCTGACGCGGAGGCTGAGCGACGCGTACTGTGGGGTGCCGCTGAGAGAAAACAGACACAGGTTGCTGTCGGAGACGGCAATCAGCGCCTCGTCCTCGCCCCACGACGGCCACAGCCGCTCGCCAACCTGATGTGCACATGAGTGTGTGTGTGTGTGGGGGGGGGGTAGTTTCAGTGTGAGCATTCGCGAGTGTGTATGAGAAGGTGTCGGGATTAATTCGCCTAATTCCATCGCAGGCATGTGTGTGCGCACACACACACACACACATACACACACATACACACACAGCACACATTTGCCACGCACCTGCTCCCTGTGCATGATGTTGAGGACTTCGCTGCCACACGTGATTTCTGTCCGAATAACACCGTTATCGGCGCGCGTGCCAGGGCTGATGGGGGAGGGTGTGTGAAGAGAGACAGAGCGGCGTTAGAGCAGTGTACGGATGCGTCAATGAACCACAAGAACAGGGGTACCAACAGACACGCACAAGAGAGAGAGGGAGAGAGAGTGTGTGTGTGTGAGTGTGTGTGAGTGTGAGTGTGTGTGAGTGTGAGTGAGTGTGTGTGAGTGTGAGTGTGAGTGAGTGTGTGTGAGTCGCGGCGCACCTTCGACAGAAACGAGCTGCGATTGGGCGCTGCGGGTCTGGCCCTTCCGCCTCCCAGTTCATGACCACATACACAAAGTCGTCGTCATACTCAATGGCAAGAAACTCGTGTCGCACGCGCTGCGTCTCTGCAACTGTCTCGCTGATGCTTGCATCGGGCACAACCGCATAGTCGTCGTTGCTGCTGCACGGGCTGCTCGCACACACGCGCCTGTTCATGTGTGTGTTTGTGTGCATGCAGGTGTATGTGTGAGTGAGTGATTGAGTGATTGAGTGAGTGAGTGAGTGAATTGTGTTGTGTTGTGCGAGGACAGTTGCATATGTTTGAGGACAATTGCATGTGTTTGAGGACGTTTGCACGTGTGCGTGCACATACGCACGTGAGTAACAGACAACGTGTTTCAGGCGAAACAAACAGAGCAGCAAATGCATCGTGCATTGGAGAGAGGGAGCTGACGTGTATGTGGTGGTGTCGCGTTTAGTGACTTGCGCCAGAATGTTGCTTGCAGGGAAAGAGGTCGACTGGAAGGCGTGGTCACGCGCTTCCTCAGCCAACGTGCCCAGGAACAGCACGGGGGTCTCGTTCACGTCTCCCAAATCCGGCACAAACTTCGCGGCAACACGTTGCGGGTACTGCACCGATGACAGCACAGATGTCGGGGTGTTGGGGGGGGGGAGGCAAGGCGTGAGCAAGCGAAGTAGCGTGCAAAGGCATGGATAGAGGAAGAGAGAACCGCAGTGTGTGTGTGTGTGTGTGTGTGTGTGTGTGTGTGTGTGCGCGCGCGCGCGTACACGCTTTCCCTCCCTCACACTCTCACCCACACTCTCACGCACACACCCACCCACCCACACACACACCCTTAGAAACACACACACAAACAGACACACACACATCTTTACAGAGGATCGCACACGCTCACCTCGTAAATGAGCCCTCCGAATAGTGTGAACGCTTAGGCGGATTAATCATTATACGCAGATACGTCCCCGGCACCTAACACAAATTATTTAGTTGGTGCGAATATACCCGAAGCAGTGATATGTGAGGAGGGTCGCCTTAACGTCTCATACGGCGCGTGTCCGCTGGATTGTTTCGACTTTGGAGGGAGAAAGCATCGCCCTTGGAGGGGCCCGTCACACGACGCCTCACGCTGTTGTTGGGAGTCAGCGACGCAGCCTTCTTATGCTTGTCG